CAAACAGTAGAGATTATCAATATATAATCTCATTGACAATTCTAATAAAATTCTTTCAGCAATGTAAGCCACCTTAATAACAAAAAAAAATAAAAAAAAATAAAAAAATTCTTAATTAATTATTTACTTTATATAATAGTTACGGATTAAGAATTGATAACTAAGTATTATCTTTATACTCATTTAGGTACTTTATATACAATCTTTACTAACTCTATTTCTCTAACTTTGTAGCTAGGTTTTAGAATTCTAATTTAAATATAAGACTTTCCTCAATATTATGTATTTACTAGTAATTTAATTATCGATCAAAATTTATATCAGTTTATTTAATCATAATTTTATCAGTGATAGATTTATATATAAGAGATCAAATTAAAGCTAAATAGCTTTTACTCTCTCTCTTTTTGATTTGATTAGATACTAAAAAATCACATCAATTTTTATGAATTTGAGAATACACCTATTTAGTTTTGCTATAACTTGTAATAAAACTTGTAATTTCTTAAATAAAATTAATCTACACTATCATATAAAGAAATAGTATGAGGGTCTGGTGATCTTAGTGTAGTGGTTAGGTTGTCAGACCACTATATAAGAGGTCTAGGGTTCAAATCTCACTGTCGATGAATTTGAATAATTACTCAGACCCTTGTACCTAACTTACAGTAAACTCTGTTTGTTTCTGGGGTTATAACCCTGTAAATCATATTGTACTAATATCAATTGAATATTAGAAGTATGACATAATGCTCGAAGAGATGTAATATTATATAAATAAATCTTGATAGAATCTACAAGCAAAGGACCTGTATAGTAGAAATTCTGAGTTTGGTAAAGTAGTATAGATTTCAATAGTCATACTGGTTAATGCTTGATCTAGTAGTACGAAAAATGCAGATCAAGTAAGTGCAAGTAAGTCTGTTTTATAGGGAGAAATAGCAATACTAACCTGGCTTGGTAGCTAACTAGATTTGGGAGGATCTTCTTGTTAAATATTTGAAGACTATTAGTAGAAAGCTATAGTAGGAACTAGGTTCATATGAATATCAACAAGGGTATAAATCCCTGAATTAACTATGAAATAGATATAGAATATTCTGGAGTAAAGATCTAGTTTGTGGGTAAAGTAGCCCATAGTTCTGTAAATACCATATATTTAAGTTAGTATTACAGAAAAAGTATTGAAAATCAGAGGGCTTAACTAGGAGATCCATAAGCAGATCTTAGGTATAGCAGTTAGTAGGTAATCTTTAGGCAAAACCTTTAAATAGACAATAACTAAAATTGTATGTATAGCTAATTATAGCCTTATTAATATGTAAAATATAGTACCTCTCTATCTAAGTATAGGTTGTAAGTCTTAAATAAATAAATACTGGGACATAGAACTCCCTCTTTAAACAGTAAAAAAAAATAAAGAAATAGTATGTATTGATAAATTAGTTTTTATTGTCTATTATTGTAAATATCTAAATTCTCATATATTTGAATTAGGTTCCGAAGTACTTTGATATAGCATTATTAAATGATAGTGCCTATTGTCTTAATCTAGAAAGTTATCAACAATCTAGCACTAAGTTAGTTCAAGGCTATAAGTATATACTTGGTTAGTATATTAAAAGAAAGTTTTACTGAATTATACAATTTAGCATTTATTTTCTGAATTGCATAATTTTGTTTTTATAATATAGCGATAGTAGAAATTATTGTAGATCTGTTAATAATTGGAATACTATATACAGTTGATATAGAAATTCAGTCTGTAACAAAATTGAATAATTCAAGTTTACAGCATATCTAAATTGTTAGCATCAGGTTTTAAGTAATTAAGGTTATATCTGTACTATGTTATATGATTTATTTTTTGAACTAATACTAATATAATAAAAAAAATTTTGTAATACCATATCTATATCTAGCTAATAATAACTACACAGAACCCCAATGTACTATTTATAGAATCTTGTATATCTTAAATTAAAAAAATAGTTATTAGATTGTTTGCATATATAGAATGTAATGATAAATATAATAACAGTACTTAAAGTTTTATAAAAAAAAAAAAAAAAAAAAAAAAAAAAAAAAAAATGAATTTAATATATACATTAGTTTCACTAATTTTTTTAGAAACATATTCTGAAATTTGTTTATTAACAGAAGATTTTAGCTAACTTAAAATCTTTTACCAACTCGAGAATGATTATGAAATTGAAATAAAAGAAGTACTTGAAACAAATGATCTTTATTTTAAAAATATATACGATCTAGAAAATGAAGAAATATCATATTTTGATAATCTAGTTCTTATACCTTCACAAATTGAAAAATTTTAAAAAATATTTTCTTAAAATACTATTGAAGAAAATAACGAAGAATAAGAAGTTAATGAAAAATTAACTATTATCCTAGATCAGCAAGAAAAAGAAATATTTATTCATAAACTTCATATAACAGTTTGTTATAAAACTAAAACATGTTTAGCCAAAATTGATCATGAATCTGTATTTAATATTTTTGATAATATTCAAAAATTATCAAAAGTTGAATACAATATACTTTTATTAGGAATACTTCATGCAATAACTCATTCTAAAAAAACTTTACAGAATAAAGAAAACAATATCTAACTGTTAAATATACTTTTGACAAAAATAAAATTTGTGAAAAAGGATTTCAAATTATATATTCATTATCAAATAAAAAATAGGAAAATATTCATCAACATTATCATATAAGTAGAATTAAACCTATTAAACATGCTTTTTCAGAAAGAAAATCTCATAATGTTTTGTCATTTGTGACTATTTTAAATATTCTTATATTTATTATTAACTTTGCAAACTGTTATAGATTACCATCACTAGGTAAAATTATTATTTTAAAATATTATTTTACTAATGATTGATTATAGGTTTCCGCTATTATTTTTTGAGTACAATGTAATTCAAAGATAATAGAGAAATAGTCTCTAGCTTAAATTAATAAGATAAGAGAATAACATATTTATTTTCTAATAAGAGTACTCTTAAGCATATAAATTATAGATCAAATCTCAATTTTTAATTAGTAAAAAGATAGTTCAGCCAGTTAAGTAAGTCTATTATTACAATAAAAAAAGATGATCAAGACCATCTTTTTTATCACAATGTTGTACTGGTTAACTAAAATTTAATATTCACATTTCATACAATAAATCTTTAGCAAAATTGCTATAAAGATTACTTCAATTAAATATGTTGCTTTTGCAATCTCGATCATTAGAAAGTTTCATTGAGAAATATGCTTGAGACATTTTAATAGCTATATATTTCTCTAGATTTTTTTGGCACTGATAAGAGCAGAAAAAAAATCTTCTATAAGGCAACGCAAAATTAATTTTTCATTTTATATAACCTACTGACCTATTTTTTCATTTTTTTCAAATTTTTTTTTTTTTTTAAAGTTTCAATTATGTTAATTATTCGATTTTTGCTATTTAATTTTCTATTAATTTTACTAGTGCTATCTAATTTTCTGATTTTATACTGTAAAAGGTGAAAAATCAACTTTGTATAGTCTTAAACATGAATATGAGTCTATTAATTTACAATAGAAAAAAAAAATCTGACTAACTGACCTAATTTTTCTAGTTCTATGTTATGCAAAACAAAAAATTAACTTTGCATGGTCTAAAGTTAGAATAAATAATATATATTAATAAAATTATTTTGATTAGGTTAGTATTTTCAAAAAGACACTATGGCTATTATATTTCTTTCTGCTAATGAAAGTTATTCTAGACTATACTGTACTTATTAATCATATTTAGAGGAAGATTCTGATCACTATATTAGTTGATAATCTTTTATATAAATTAGAAAAAATATGTATCATAAATTCACTTTTTATCTCCTATAAATGATTTCTGCATGCTTTGTAAAAATATGCAGTTTAATACTTAATATTGAACAGAAAATGAACAAGATTATAATATTCAAGAATAGAATAATCATATTAAATGAGTAAATCAAGAAAGAGAATTTTATAAGTATGATTAGCTTTTTTTTTTTTTTTTTTTTTTTTTTTTTTTTTTATATCAATATAGCTGTTTTATGGAAATTAAATTTTCTAGACAATACATATTAGATACTAAATAGCAAGTAAAAAATATTATCAATTTATCAAAGCTTTTACATTTGGTAAAACCAAATTCTTTGGAATTAGAGAACTATATTTTGTGAGACTTCACTGAAGCTGTATATCTTCCATTTTCTTCACAACAAGAAGTATAGTTATATCTTATTTTCTAATAGATTTTTTTTTCAATTAAATAATAATAGGTTTTTTAGAATTACTTATTTTAGAAATAAGTAAGAATTAGAAATCGAAAAATACATATTTTATAATAACATATACATAATACATATTAATGCATGTTATATAAAATGCATATAATATCACATGATATAATTTTTGATTTTATATTTTTCCTTTGAAAAATATTAAATATTTGCTCAAATTTTTGCTTCAACTCTTCTCTTTTTATTCTTTATTCTATTCAGCATCATACTCTTTAGTCTAAATTTTATATACTATATTTAATTTTTCTATATAAAATTTAGATAAGATAAAGTATACAGTTTCTGAATCATACATATAAATGTACATGATTTAGGAATTATACACATATATAAAACCTATCTTTAAAGGCAAATCAAAAAATTAAAGAGATATAACTAGTAATAAAATTGCTTCATTGATAAACTTTTATGTTTTAAATAATATATACTTTAAAAAATAGTGTTTATATTCTAGAATTAAACATATTACTTATTTTATCTGAAATCAGATGCTAAATATTAATTCTAAAACCCACCAATATATATTTGCAACTATTGTATTAAGTAAATGACTATAGAAAATAATTGTTAAAAAATGCGTAGCTACTTTTATTAATAAATATTATAATATTATTATTAAAATATTTAGGAATCTATTTACTTTAAGTCTTTGTATAAAGTTTCGATTTTTGAAATATATGAAGATATTTTTTCTCAACAGGTTTAAATTTTAATTATTAAAAATTTAATACAGTTGATCCTAATTCTATCAAAACTGATAACCTGTCAAATCTGATAAAAAATTATTCTACTAAGTCCATTCTCATTATATAAATCTAATAGTTTGCTAGGTTTTTAAATCTGATAACCTCTCAAAACTGATATAAAACCTGTTCATTATGTACATTGATTTTGAGAGGATCAACTGTACATATAAATTCTAAAAATAATTTACTATTATGTGTTTGTTTAGAAAAATTATTTAATTAAAGAAAATGAAGATGTTAGAAAAGAAGCAAATACGGTTATTTTAATAGTTCACTATTATTTTGAAAATCATAGGCTTAGAGAAAAATATATTACAATCTATGCAGACAATTGCCTAGGTCAAAATAAAAATAATGCTATAATAAAATATTTAATATGGTGCATTTTAAATAATTTGCATAAAAGAATTATATATTCTTTTATAGTAGTAAGATATACTAAATTTTTACCTGATAAAGAAAATTACCAACTCTTTCTGACGATCACTTTTACCAAAAATTTCATAAAAATAAACGCAACTTTTTATATAAAAAATTTTTATACTAAGTAAGATTTGTTACAAACTATATTATCAATAAAGTGAGAAGTTTAGCTGAGATAACAGCATGAATAAGAACTTCAGTCTTCCACAGTTTTAGTAGAGGTCAAACTTTTTTTCCAGTAGACTTCTCTATACTATTTGGCATTCAAGCTAGAAGGAAAGGTGTTTCTAGTGGTATAATGCTTTGGCAAGGAAGACTTATTATAGAAATTTGGAATATAAAAGTTGCAACACACTCTCTAGATTATAAAGAACTAACGTTTTCTTCTTCTTTGAACCCAACTCTATTCGATACTTTTCTGCTGCACAAAAAGTGAGAATTTGGCTTACCCCTTCCAAGGGATCAACATTCATACTACTTCTATTTTGGGAATAATCACATTGTTCTACTAAACAACAATAATATGTATATCTTAGCCAAATAGTGAGTCATGCTTAAACATATGTTTAGGTTAAAGGCACAAAGCTAGAGTACATGTTTAATTATAACAAACTAGATTTAATTCAAAAATTGTTTATTATTAGAGATATATTTTAGTAGCTATTTCTATGCAACCTTTAGTCATAGATATATAATTTTTATATGGTATTTTGAAAGCAGAATACTATCCTTTTGTTTCTTTTTCTTCTTTTTGTTATACTGCAAAGTGTTTTTTACATGTTGCATGTTTTTTCTTTGCAGTTTTATTATATAACACATAGCCTTAGTGTCGACCATTATATATAATTTTTATTTTTTTTATGCCTTTTTGCTATATGAGAAACTATTATCAGTTTAGTAGTGGTCTATTATATAGGCAAGAGTCATGATGAGCTATGGTGTTTGCTCAAATTATTAATATTTTTTCAAAAGATTAAATATTAATGAGGAGAGAAAAGATCACTATAGCAGATCATATATAGGTATCTATAGGATAATTAGGTGAGTCAATACTTAAAAAATTGTTGATTAGATATATAGAGTGCAGATTACTTTGTAACTATATATTTTAATTTGTCTTTTGTTAAAGATATATTACAAATAAAGTGTTGGTATGACCTGCTGAAAGGTTAAAAAAAAAAAAATTTTTACCTAATAGTTTTTTTGAGTTACTGAAACTGAAACTTCAATATTCTGAAGTAGATAACTTGGCAAATTTAGTTCAGGTTGTTTAAAACTCTACTGTCAGAGGCTATAATATAGCACAAACTATTTATGACCAAAATAGTACTCGACAAGTTCAATTTTACAAGTAAGCAGAATTTTTTGATGAATTCTTCAAGAATATTCTACAAATTCTTAAGCAATATTACTTTATTATTTCATCAGATAAATCTGGAATAGTAGAAATAAAATTAGCAATAAATAAGGAAAAAACAGAAATAATATTATTAAAAAAAAACAAAATTAATTTATTTCTTTCATCTGCTCTTCTAGCTTCTCTATTAGCAAAAAATTTAACACCAGAGCAACAATGGTATTTGTACAAGCAAGTTCATAGTCATATCTGTGATTTAACCAAAAGAGATGAATTTTGTCTATTACTAGCATCCTATTATATAGTAAAACAAGATTAATAGCCTAGTATATTGATATATATATTATTTGAAGAAAGACTATTATCTTTACAAACTAATTTTCTTATTCCAAATTAAAAAACTTTAAAGTTAAACTACTAGCTGAAAAATTTTATTAGAATTGTCAATGAGATTATATATTGATAATCTCTACTGTTTGTAATTACATGAAGAATGTATAACAAGCTACATGTACAACTTTAGTTATTGTCTAATTTAAGTAGTCTGCTGCACAGACGATTAGACTACCTGATTAGTTCTACACTATGCTGCTATACCTGTAATCTGTCTGTGAGTTACCTATTTAAACTCTCTGTTCATTAACCTATACAGATCCAACCTAACGTCACTGCAATATCTAACTATTTAAGCTAGCTAGCTTGTTACGGATCCATTTATTCAGAATGGCTTAGGTCCTCTCAGAATATATTGTATCTAACAC